AAAAGAAGATAAACAATCCAATCAAAAAATTGGCAAAGGGCCTAAACAGACACTTTTTGAAAGAAGACATACACAAGGCCAAGAGACATATGAAAACATGCTCAAAGTCACTAATCATCTGAGAGATGCAAATCAAAACAACGATGAAGTACCATCTCACACCTGTCAGAATGGCTATCATCAACAAACCATCAAACGGCAAGTGCTGGCGAAGATGCAGAGAAAAAGGAACCCTCCTTCACTGCTGGTGGGAATGCAGACTGGTACAGCCACTGTGGAAAACAGTATGGCGTTTCCTCAAAAAATTAAAAATGGAACTGCCATTTGACCCAGCAATACCACTTCTAGGACTATATCCCAAGAAAACAGAAACACCAATCAGAAAGGATATATGCACTCCTATATTCATAGCAGCACAATTTACCATAGCTAAGATTTGGAAACAGCCTAAATGTCCATCAGCAGATGAATGGATTAGAAAACTGAGGTACATCTGCACAATAGAATACTACGCTGCTGTAAAAAAGAAGGAACTCTTACCTTTTGCAACAGCGTGGATGGAACTGGAGAGCATTATGCTAAGCAAAATAAGCCAGTCAGTGAAAGGTAAATACCACATGATCTCACTCATTTGTGGAATATAAAGAACATTATAATCTGACTAGAGGCCCGGTGCACAAAAATTTGTGCACTCGGGGGGGGGGGGGTCCCTCAGCCTGGCCTCTGCCCTCTCGCAGTCTGGGACCCCTCGGGAGATAACAACCTGCTGGCTTAGGCCTGCTCCCGGGTGGCAGAGGGCAGGCCCAATCCCTAGGTGCAGCCCCTGGTCGGGCTCAGAGCAGGGCCAATTGGGGAGTTGGGGCGCCACCCCGTCATGCACAGAGCAGGGCAGACTGGGAGGTTGTGATGCTACCCTCAGTCACGCTCAGGGTAGGGCCAATTGGGGGGTTGGGGCACCGTCCCGTCACACTCAAGGCAGGGTCGATGGGGAGGTTCCGGCGCCACCCCGTCACGCACAGAGCAGGGCTAATCAGGGGGTTGGGGCGCTGCCCCCGTCACTCACAGAGCAGGGCCCATCAGGGGGTTGGGGCGCTGCCACTCTCACACTCAAGGCAGGGCCGATGGGGTGGTTATGGCTCTACCCCATCACACACAGAGCAGGGCCCGTGGGGGGGGGGGGTTGGGGAGCTCCCCCCTATCAGGCACAGAGCAGGGCCGCTCAGGGGGTTGGGGCCCCGCCCCCTGTCACACACAGAGCCGCAGGGCGATCAGGGGGTTTGGGCGCTGCCCCCTGTCACGCTGATCCCGGTGCCGGGAGGCCTCTCGGCTCCGCTGATCCTGGTGCCAGGAGGCATATTACCCTTTTACTATATAGGATAGAGGCCTGGTGCATGGGTGGGGCCGGCTGGTTTGCCCTGAAAGGTGTCCTGGATCAGGGTGGGGGTCCCCACTGGGGTGCCTGGCCAGTCTGGATGAGGGGATGATGGCTGTTTGCAGCTGGTCACACACCCTTCAGGGTGGGGGTCCCCACTGGGGTGCCTGGCCAGTCTGGGTGAGGGGCTGAGGGCTGTTTTCAGGCTGGGAGTGACTGAAGTTCCCAACCGCTCCTTTTTTTCTTTTTCTTTTTTTTTTATTCTGGGCCAGCTTTGCCTTGAGGCTTGGCTCCAGCTCTTAGGCCTCCGCGCAGCTGAAAGTAGGTTTCTGGCCTTTGCTTACAATGTTGCGAATCTGCTGGCTGAAGTCCAGCGGTATTTGTTACAATGTTTCTTAAACTGCCCGCTTAGAGGCCTGCAGCCGCAGGCGGGGAACGTTGGTTTCCTCCGTCACTGAAGCAAGCAAGCCTCATGTTAGTTTCAAGCTGCCTGGCTGCCGGCCGCCATCTTGGCTGATAGTTAATTTGCATATCTCGCTGATTAGCCAATGAAAAGGGTAGCGGTTGTACGGCAATTACCGTGTTTCTCTTTTATTAGTGTAGATAAGCAAAAATAGATACAGAGGCAAAGAAGCATTGAACAGACTGTCAAACTATAGTGGGAAGGCAGGGGAGGGTGGGGGCGGGTAAGAGATCAACTGAAGGACTTGTATGCATGCATATAAGCATAACCAATGGACACAAGACACTGGAGGGCATGTGTTGAGGGGTAAGGGAGACCAGGGGGAGGTCAATGGGGAAAAAAGGAGTCGTATGTACTACTATTTGTAATACTTTAAACAATAAAAAAAAGATATGAAGTAGGAGTTAGGTTGGGGGCAAGGAAGAGTTGGGCAGAGTCCCAGGTAGAAAGAACCATTTATACGGTAGTCCAATGATGAGAAAAGCTTGGTGAATAAGATCAGAGAAAAGAATACAGTGATTATAACAGGAGTAGTAAGAGGGAGGCTGAGGTTTAATCAGAGTCAGGACCAGACCTTCTGTACCAAGGGAAGAGTTTGTTTCTTAACTAACAGAAGAGAAAGCTACTGAAGGGTTTAAGTGCAGGTAACACAATCAGCTTTATATTTTCATAAGATGATATTGACTGCTCTACGGGGTGGTGGTAAGGAGCAGATGTTGGAATTGGTTGGATATGGGAGATCAGATAGAAAGAATTGTGAAAGATGACATTCAGGTATCCAGTATGATCACCAGGGAGGATTGCAGTATCATTTACAGATTGTAGTATCATTAGCAGACAGATCAAGAGTTTAATTTTATTAAGTGTACAACAGCTCTCAATAAATAGTGACAATTATTGTTTTGTGGTTGTTTTTACTGATGACTGAAAACCACTTGTTGTGATTAGGGGTAATGGTGATTTTTCAGGTGTTGCTCCCACTGTGTACACAGGTACTCTGGACTTGACATCTGCGAAGGGAAGTCACCTATGGGACTAAGAATGCAACTGAACCTCAACATGAAAAAAACCTTTTTTTACCTTCAATCTGACTTCTAGGATAGCTTAATATAACACATGGATAAACAGAATTCTTTTTTCTTGAATTCCCTTCTTCTCCCAAGAATCAAGAAAGTTTAGATATGATATTATGGCCATGCCAACTGGTCTATCCAGGGTTAATGTATGTTTGAGGCATCAATGTTGTATGGGGAGATCAAAAGTATAAAATTAGCCTTAATTGGCCTACGCTAAATAATGAATGAGCAAAGACAGCTCAAAGGATTTTCCTATAAGTTGGGTAAGGGGATAGTAAGCAAAGAAATCAAGAGGTGTACTCAGATCTTTGATTTTACAGAAAGTATTTCTTACTTTATTTTATGACACAGGTTCTTATTCATATTTTCACCTCATTTAATAATGTCATACTTACAAATACTGTTTACACATAGTGGGGAAAAAATTGCCTATTAGAATTATTAGTTAGCAGTATCAACTATATAAGGCTATTTTCATTTTCATTCCGGTGAGCCAGCGCTGCCTGTACAAGCATATGAGAAGGCTGCTAAGTCTTCACACCTGGCTCACGACCACTGCCTTTGTTCCCTAGAGATGCCAGGAAAGCAAAGGCCAAGCATCAGGAGTGGCCACAAGCTGGTAATGAGAACCCTTGTTATCATTATCCTGATCATTCTATTAAATAAGTCCTGAAGCATATGAGGTGGATGGCAAATGTATGAAATATACCAGAAGGTATGTCTATTTCAGAAGTTTTGAGCCCTGAGTTGAGAAATTTTACAATACTTAATTCACACACCAACTGGGCATTTTGCAACCAGGCGTCTATAAAAGAACTAAGGAGAAAGAGGCACTAAGGGCACCATCAAATCTCACACCTAAACAACTGGCATCATTTAAACACAAGCACCATTAATGAACATCAGACAAACACACAGATCAGCATACATAGAGATTTTAAAGAAGAGGAATAGTTTAACCTACATTCTGAATGCTTAACATATACTTTATTTATATTAGAATACTTAGAGAGGTCCTTGAAGTATATATTTTAAACTTATACCTTTAATAGTATATTTATTAAACTAGGAAATGCATCTAATACACTTATTTTCACTTTTTAAATTTAAATAAGCACATATATGGAACTTCTTTATTGCTGTGTGTAATCTGTAATGTTGCCTTACCTGGTATAATCCTGCAAGACCTCAAGTACCCTAATTCAACACAACAAAATGAACCATGCTGAATCATTTGAGCATTTGCATTTATTCCTAATTATATTAACAAACTCTTGTTTATAGTAACTTCAAAGTTTTAGCTTTTAGACATTTGTTGGAAATAAGACATTTTGCTTGCTATCTAAAAATTCTAAAGAGGAGAGTTTTTTCTTCACATCTAGTCAGAAGCAAGGCTCTGAAAATCTGAGTATTCAAACCAGATCTCTACCACTTAGATATGTAATAATCTAATCTGTGTCTTAGCTTCCAACTTGAATCTCAACTGCTCATCCGTAAAACAGGACAAAGTAGTACCTAACTCAAAGACTTGTTATGTTAAATGCTTTGTTGCATAGAAAAAACTTAGAACTGTGCCTGGCACATATAAGTGCCCCAAAATGTCAGCTATCATCATCATCATCATCATCATCATCATCATCATCATCATCATCATCATCATCATCATCTTCTTCTTCTTCATCACTTTTGGATACTGGGAAAAAGAGTCTACATTTAACTTTTTCCCTCTGCGTTCTTAGTCCTTAGTTTTATCAGAAACATCAACCTTTCTTCTTTTCCATTCAATTAGATTTTTTTTAGTCCAGTGATTCTCAAACTTTTCTTTTACATCGGTACCATTATAACAAATTCAAACATTCCAGGATCTTGTACATGACATAATTTATAATTTTAGAATCCTCTGATTAAGAAAATACATATGAACAGAGGAATTTAAGGACCCCCTGAAACAAATCCACAGCCCCTCAGAGTCTAAGGCTTATTGGTTAGGAACCATAGCTTTAATCAATAATGAATATATTTAGATTATAATGTAATTCAGGTACTTCTTAAAAACCTCATGGGCTATAGTTCTTCCAGCTTCTCTTACCTCGCCCATGACTGCTATGGGTGTTTCTCCTGTTGCCTGAGCAACACGATGTTCTACTAAGTAGAACATATACTCGTCGTAGAGTAGACGGATCAGGTGGAAGGAGCCAAAGCTAGCAGCACTGCGTAAGGTTAAGTCTCGAATAACCATTGAGCTGTTCCAAGAGAAAAGACAGATGCAGCCAATATTAGTGACGAGGATTAGAGTTCAACCTACTTTTTCTCTTAAAAGAAGGAGTTGGAGGTCTGAAAGATTGGTATGGCACACAACCTGCCATGCAATAATTTCATGATTAAAAGCAGTTGGCTCAACTCTTTGAAGCAGGGCGGTAAAAGAGGTAATCCTCACTGACACTTGCTTAGGTCTTTATTAGAGCTAGACAGGTTTTTATGGGAAAAGCCATTTTACTAACATAGGCACGTCTGATGATTCCCCTGAACTCTCATATGGGTCAGAATTGAATATAAAATAGTTTTGAAAAGTTGACGACTCATCACCACCAGAAGAAAAAGCAACTCAAAGTGAAAATCTTATTGATGGGTAAACACTGTGTTTCCACCTCTCAATGACAGTGGCTTTGATGTACGCTTTGGGAAAAGATGTACTTATGCCATACAAAGGTTACGAAACCTAAGCAATGTTCCAGATGTGGCAAAGTAGAATGTAGATGATCTTTACACTGATCTGTGCAAATTGGGGTGGAAGGCAAATTTATTGTGATTCCAGTTTCTTACTGATTCCCACTTAAATTAAGGTGATTTTCCATGAGAAGTGTAATAAAATCAATGAAGAAACACATGACTTTGTGAAATGTGAACTTGTAATTTATAAAATATAAAACCAAAATATGAACAATATTAATAAAACTAGAGGCCCGATGCATGAAATTTGTGCAAGAGTAGGCCTTCTTCCCCCAGCTGCTGGCACCAGCTTCCCTTTGGCACCCGGGACCCAGGACCTGGGCTTTCCTTGCAGCCCTGGCTTCATCCGGAAGGTTGTCAGGAAGGATGTCTGGTCTAATTAGTATATTATGCTTTTATTATTATAGATACTAACAATAAACTTGATATTTAAATTGTAAATGAGTTTAAGATAAGCCAATCATTGGCTCGTCCATGCACTTCAAACTTCTTAAATATTTCTAATTAGAGTCAGGGTGGAGTATGTGTGGGGTGTCGTGGTGTGTATGTGTGTGTTTATTGATTTTAGAGAAAGGAAGGGACAGAGGGAGGGAGAGAAAGAGACAGAGAGATATAGACAGATATAGAGATAGATTGGTTGCTTTCAGTGTGTGCCCCGACAGGGGATCAATCCCTTAACCCAGGTATGTGCCCTGACCGGGAATCGAACTGGCAACCTCCTTTTGGTGAAGGACGATGCTCCAATCAACTGAGCCACCCAGTCAGGGCAATACCTAGCTATCTTTTAAACAATACTGATAAGCATGCCATGAAATTATTGTCACATGTTTAGAACAGAATCAGTTGAGTTATATTATTAATGCCATGTCTACTTTATTCTCTCTGTGTTCGGCCTCTGCCCTACAAACCAAGTATTAAATGACACAATTAACAGTTTAATTAGAAACCTATTGTTTGATTCAGACTTCTATAAGACATGTTGCAAAATTGATTCCACTGAACTTCATGTTGCTAAGTTACCACAAATTCAACTCATTTTAAAATCATTAATAAATGTTAATTATTTTATAATGGCGAGAGACACCTTTGTGTATTTATCTTTATAATTCATGGTGTGGAAATGGAAACATTTACTCTAACACATGATACTCAATCCACTTCTTTGTGTATTTGGGGATATAACACACCCTTCCTAAGAAGAAAGGTGAGAACATCACAAATGTGACCCCCTTGGGAACTCTCTTTTCTTCTAATTTTTTATTGATTTTATAGAGAGAGATGAAGGGAGAAAGGCGAGAAGGGAGGGAGGAAGGGAGAGATGGATGGAGGGAACTGGGGCGAGGGAGAGAAAGAGGGGGAAAGAGAGAAACATCAATTTGTTGTTCCGCTTTTTAATGCATTCATTGGTTGCTTCTTGTATGTGCCCTGACCGGGACTCAAACCCACAACCTTGGTTTATCAGGATGACCCTCTAACAAATTGAGCTACCTAGCCAGGGCCTGGACTGTCTTTTCAACAGTGATTACAGTTGATTCCAAAAGAGTGCTACTTTATGGAAGATTTATATATTGTCCAGTTGTAGTAAAGCTAGGTTCCCTGCGCCCCTGTTCAAATCACTATAAAAGCTATACATTTAATTCCTTAAAAATGGGATATTTGGTTATCCTGAGTAATGCTGTGTTCTGTTATCCACAAAACACACAAGCTGAGAAATGGCCCACATAACTTCCTCCATTTCTGCCCAAGAAAGACGGTGATTATTTTTTCTCCACCTCCCAGGGAGCTAACAGTAGCCATTTAAAGCCAGGTTAGGCAAGGAGAGATCCCCTATCCAGAAAAGAGGGTGTTTGCAGCCATTCATCAACTGCCAGCTGATATCATGATTGCCTGCCAGTCCATTTCTATATTCGTATGCATGTAAATAGACATACAGAATTTTAGAAATTGTAAGATTAACTGGCTTCAGAAATTGAGAGTCTGTATAAGTAACTGCCAAATTCTTATTACAATGCCAAAATCTTAAAAAAAACCCTGCAATTCTATTTCTCTGATAGTTTGTGAATGTAGTGTTCATTACTCAATATGTTCTAATGCCTTAGTAAAAAGCAGTTCAGATTCTAAAGGCTTTTAGGTTTTTAAGCTATTGACTTTGCCTACCAGCAGGAGGTATGCATCTGTCAGAATATGCCTTCCCTTCTGTGGCCTTGCACTGTACGCCTTCAAGTCTTTTTGAAATGAAAATAATAACCATAATAGTGCCTAATAATAACAAGCCAATTATCCCCAACTCAGGGAGGACAGAGGGCAGGCAAGTGATGATCTGGGTTTGTGTATCTGTGAGAACAAAAATACAAGTAAGTAATTTTCTCTTTTCAACATACCTGCAACACATCTCTGTGGAGACAAAGGCTCCAGGGGTATATTTCTAAAATGCTATCAACTAAATATAGTAAAAATAAAAACCTCCAGGAAGAAGTAAGGGCAGGCCTGACATATCATCAGAAAGCAGTGAAAAGGGAAAAAAAAAAACCCTTGCTTTTTCTGATATAGAGGATGTACTCTGCTTTTGGTCATTTGGGTTTTGGAATAATCAGCTAGTAGAACTTCTGTTTCATCAATCATTCATGAAGCACATATAGCATCTATTTAATTTTCTGGAGAAAAATGGATGAATAACAAATCAACTTGCAAGAAAATAGGAAAATACATGGAATCTTAAGAAATATTCCCAAATTAAAAATTTGATTTCTAAATTACTGCTACTTTGAGAACACTGTGACGCTGTTTTTCTAAATCTTCCCCATATATCCAGAGGAGATTCTAAATCGAGCATAGGCTTCTCTGAAGCATACCAGCGGGTCACAGTCAGACAGCATCTTCACAAGGTGCTTCTCAAATCATGTGGGCCACAGGTATTAGGTATGAGAGACAGAACTGTGGAATTATTTCATTCCAAAACCAAAAACAAAATAACACAAAACTGGCAAGCTTTCTTTCACTGCATTTGAACCTTTGCTTACATCCTGTAAGACACTATTCTTACATCCTGAAAATAGTTTTCTAATTTAATTCTTAACTGGAAATATATAGTACATCTGCAGCTCTACTTTAAGAAATAAGAATTGGACCAAATCGGCTAAGAAAGCAAGTCACTTACAATAAAAACCAAAGCAACTACCATCATAATGAAAAGATATCTTTATAAGGGTGATCAAAACAAGATGAAATTCTATAGTCTGGGCTTACTGGGTTCATGAGCCCTACTAGTTCCTAAATTCTGTCACTTCTTCATATACCTCCTCTCCTCACAGCCAGCTTTGGACTCACAGCTGGTATCTAGATAATAACCTTGGTGTACCCATAGCCACAGTCAGTGGTATATCCTGTGGTCACTACTTTCTGATACGATACTTGAATGGCTGTATAGGATCAAAATTAGGAACCTGCCCAAACCTCAAAGTATATATGGTTTTTAGGCTCAAGTCAATGGGGTTACCTTTATCTAAAGAAGCAAAGAAATGAACCCACCTTAAGAACAAATGCCAGGGTCAAAAATATAGCTTATCTAACTTATAAAATGGAACTTCATCTGTCAATCCCATCCCAAGTATAAAAGGTATTATGCCATCTTAGGCTCTGTTTTAAACCCCTGGGGCAGACCTATGGTCAACAGCTTATACAGACATTTGATATCATATATCAAGTAATCTGAAAGCCTTTTTCTTCCAGGGTTCTTCTATGTCTACAAAAATATACATTTATATCAATATTATTTCAGTCAAAAAGTGATACATTTTGTACTGTCTACTAGATTATTGGATATTACACTAGCTATGGATTAGAATCACCAGAAATAAGCTTTTAAAGAAAGATTTCTGATTTATTCCTCATCATTACTCCCTAACCATCAAGATTTTAATCTAGCAGGTTTGGAAGGTACGTAGATTTTTTTTACACTAATTCTGATGTGCAGCTAGGTTTGAAAACAGTTGTAATTGATCAATAAGAATTTAACTAGATGGTTTTGAGCATGCATTAGAATCACCAGGACAACATTAAAAAATGCACAGATTGTTGGGCCTCACCTCTGCAGTTTCTGATTTAAAGAGATTTGGGGGAGGGGACCTGAGAGTTTGTATTTCTAACATGTTCTGAGCCATAGTGATGCCACTGGTCTCTGAGAACCACTGAAGTAGGGAATAGGAAGAAGTGGTGCTAAGGCCTCAAGAAAGAAGCCTACATAATGTCTGTTTGCCAGAGGGAGGACTGTAGCCCCTTTCTTGCTGTTGCTAAACACATTCTCTAGACTGGAGTCTTGGGTGTTCCCATCTGAGAACTTTAGGGCTCTGAGAAGAGGCTTTCTGTTCCTAGCAGATAGCTGAGTTTCATAAGCCTCCTGGTATAATTCCATAAGGTTGCAATCAATGAATTGAGTTTCTACAAATGAAAGTCTTCACTTATTTATTTTCTTTTGTCTGAGCAGTGTGTACATTACACACATATTTGTAGACTATGAAAAATAAAGCTTAGTGAAAACTGAGATGCACCTGTAGAAAGACCACTTTAGCAGAAACTGCCTGGCGGCTTTTGGAAAACTGGGCCTCCCTTCGTAGGGTTTCAGGGCTTGCATCATCACGTTGTCCAGCCATGCGGCCCACTGCTCCAGGGTGCTCTGCTGCTGGAGTGTCATCTTGAAGTCTGTTTCTAGTCTTTGAACCATGTTGTCATCACACTGGCACACCCAGGAAGCCTGCTCCTGGGACAGTACACACAAAGCAAAAGAAAAGTTCAACACAATATCTTTTCATTGAATGGCAGCACACAAACCATATGCACAAATGGGAAATTATTTAAATGAATTAAGAGAATGAATGACTACTTACCTGTCAGTTGTTAAGGAAACGAACATCGCCTATGTGCATGAAAAAGGGATGTGACATAAAAGCAAGACTTGGCTTTTCTACATGACCTATTCTGTATGGAAGACAACCACCTATAACTGAAGAACAATTAAAGCCTGAACCTACAGGATGCAAGGTCTTTCACTCTATTCAGTTTTTATGCTGCCTTCCAAAGTGCTCTTTCCCCCCACCCCCCTGCTAAAAATCAAATAAATTTTTAAAGCCAATTCATCTGAGAAGATTTAAGCAGTGGTTCTCAACTTTCCTGATGCTGCGACCCTTTAATACAGTTCCTCATGTTGTGGTGACCCCCAACCATAAAATCATTTTTGTTGCTACTTCATAACTGTAATTTTGCTATTGTTACGAATCGTAATGTAAATATCTGATATGCAAGATGTATTTTCATTGTTCGCAACCCACAGGTTGAGAACCGCTGATAGAGTAACTCAGATGGACAGATTCGATTGGCCAAAAGTGGTCTTTCAGGATGAAAACAGAAACAAACACTGAATAGTACTGGGTAGAAGCATGTGCTGTATAAGTTTTATAAATGGGAAGCCAATCTCCAGGGCGGTCAAGGCAAGGCTATGAATGCAAATTAATCTACAGAACTGAGAACAACAGCAAAAATACTTCTGAGAAAATGTGGATATGCTAACTGCCAAGAAACAAACTCCTACAGCTTTCCTTCTGGTTATAACTGGCAAGTTTCATGTTTGGTAAGATCAATGAAAACAGGAACTTTTAAGGTTACTTTTCAGTGGTTACCAGTAAGTTCTGTAATGTTTCCAATGCCTTTTAAGATTACTAAAAGCACGTATATTCTCATGGTCAGAGTATAATTATTTCATAATATAATAATCGACTGAGAGAAAGATGACATGGATTTTATGTAGGGCCTGAATTGATTAAACTGAACTCAAGCAATTCATTTAATTTCAGTGGCCTCATTTTCCCCAAACATACAATTAGAGAAATGAAATGTGACAGTAATTTTTAATGTGGGTTCATGTGTCCAGATAATAATTTCAAGATAGGTTTTTGTGGAGGGGAAACTGTAAAGGTTCTAATTCTATACCTAAAAATTGTTAATATGTGTGTATTCTTCTATAAAGTGTGTCTATAGCTTTCATTCTATCTACTCTCAAAGGACAAGTTCATTCAAATCAACAATTTCAACTAAATAAATCCCTAATCTGCACTCACTGGTTCCACCATTGCTCCTGATCCTATAAACTTCACCTATTCAAGAGACATTTCAACAGGGAGGTGCTTCAGAGACAAAATGCCAAACTTCATTCACTTTATTTCCCCAGGGAAATCTATAGTTTCTTCTATATTTCCAGCTGATGATACCATCTACTACCTTTCTTTGTCTTATGTAATTACTCATAAACACTTTCAGATTTTACTTCCTAAATACCACTTTTAAATATTTTAAGTACATTAAAATATGACAATAGAAAAATAACAAATACAAATAATAAAAAATATTAAGAATACCTAAATGCCAACATAAAGAGATAACTACAGCATGCTACTGTGTATACCTTTTCAATTTTTTCACATGTCATATGAATATGCATGTATGTATATGCATATATAAATATTTAAAATAGGATTATATGACACATTCTGCTAGATATTCTGCCTAGTTTCACTTAAATATATATGATAACCATCTTTCCACTTTGGCAAATATAGAGCTATATTTAATGTTCAATGATTAAATTTGCTTCAATGCATGAATATAGCATTGTTTACATAACCAATTCCATACAACTAGACATTTCTGGTCATTACTATTTTTTACTAGTAGGAATAATACCAGAATTAGCAATCTTGTAACTATATCATTGCTTTTTTTGGCACTTCTTTCTGTATGACAGAATAATAAAATAGTTATAATACTTCAAAATATACTGTCAAATAACTCCCAGAAATGATGTATCAATTTAAGAGTTCAGGAGAATACCCAGGGAAGTATTGTGGCCATAAAGAAAGGACAGAGGAGGTTGTTGTTTTTAATTAATGTCTAAACATTTTTTTGTTGTGGTAAAATAACACAAAATTTATCATCTTAACATTTTTTAGTGTCTAGTATAGGAGTGTGAACTATATGTCCTTATTGTGCAATCTATCTTTAATATTTTTCATTTTGAAAAAAAATGAAACTTTATACTCATTATAGGGGACATTATTTTTATGTGTTTGTGCACTGATAATTGAGAGGAGGAACTTATTGGTACTCCAGAAGAATTTCATTTAATTTCTTACTATAAATTCAAACTCACTAATGCCTTTGCTTTAGTAGTTAGTTTTTGCCATGAAAAATAATAATCTAAAACCAAACTTAGAGAAGTAAAGTCGCAGGACATTATTGTGGCTTTTCAAACTAATTTATATGTATTTCATTTTGCTACTCTCCAGACTGAAAATATAATAATGGTCGAGTATATTGTAAACATTCCCTTCGGAAAGGAATTTGGATATTTCAGTTCTATAGTCAGTAGTTTTAAAATCAGATTAAAAAAATTCTTATTGTTGAAAGTATTACATGTGTCCTCTTACCCCCCCATTGACCTCTTCTAGACCACCCCCACCTAGTGTCTGTGTCCATGGGTGTATGCATATATGCATAGAAGTTCTTTGGTTGATCTCTTCCCACTCACCCACCCACCCTCGCCTTGCCTCTGAGATTCCACAGTCTGTTCCATGCTTCTGAAATAAATATATGCAATAGTTAGGTTATCGGGTCAACCCACGGAAACCTACTTAGCCCACAACGTAGATGGAAAACTATCATTTACACACAAAATATTAGAAAATAATACCATTGTAATGCTATCAATTAAATAAAACAAAAAACAATGATACTGCAATAGAAAAATTATCCTGAGGAAAAGAAGATTTAACTAGAGAATTATGAAGTGGTAAAAGATATATGAATATCCAGAAAGAAACTTTTTAATATGTTCAAGCTCTCAGAGTATGAGAGTATTGACCCTTATATGTAATTTCACCGACTTAAATTAAAGTTTCCTTATTAAAAGAGCATCACCCTTATATGGGTCAGTCTCACTGAGGTTAACCTTGTAGGGGCAGAGCAACTTCCAAATGAGGAGGGGGTGATAGAGGTGGAACGGTAGGCAGTGGACTGGGAAAACCAGAACTGAGAAAATCAGGCAAACGTTGGAGCAGAAAAGGAAAGAATGAAGGAAGTTAAAGATCGAATATGCTAACTGAAGAAAGAGATTACTCATTAAAATGAAAAGAGGTGTGAGACATAATATGTAGGGGGAAAGGAAGGGTGTACCACTGTGTCCATGATCTTCTGAGGAAAACCAAGATTATTTGGTGGATAAGTGTTTTGTTTTGTTTTTTAAATATGTTTTTACTGGTTTTAGAGAGAGAAGAAGGATTAGGAGAGAGAGAAAAATCAATGTGAGAGCAACAGTTCCATAGGCTGCCTCCTGCACGCCGCCTACTGGGGATCCAGCCTGCCCTGGCTGGGAATGGAACCAGCAACCTTTCAGTGCACTGGATGATGCCCATGAACTGAGACACCCAGCCAGAACAGAGGGTAGGTATTTAATCATACAGGTTTCAGTACAAATAACTGTCATGTGGGCAGAGCAAAACTTGGTAGTTGAAAACAGAGGAAGGGGAAAGGTAGCCTCAAAGCTGGTGGGTGGAGAATGAGTAATAGAGTAGATACATAATCGACCATGTATAAGCAAAGGTGTTCTCAAGGTTGTTGTTTATACCCTGAAAGAACTCATTTCTGTAAATACTTCATAGGATTGCAGGCATTACAAATACACATATAAAAATAATGTTAAAAAGAAATTTAAAATCTCAGATATTATTGGGAATCATTCATTTATTTTCTGTGATTGAACTTAAATTTCTTTTTGAAACTAGAAGTTGCCTAACTACTTCAACTGTTCTGAAGATACTTTTAAAGGAAGATTTAGGAATGAATGAAGATTTGAAATAAACAATAGAGTATAAATTTTAAGGCAATATAAACTTCTAATATTCTCAATGAAATTAGTTAACATAAATTCTATTGAAATATATATAAAGCTAATGGCTTTGTAAACCAGAGAGTTTTGTCTGGTAAAGGTAATACATTTGCATGTGTGTATAAATTTATGTTTGTATATAGAGAAATTGATAAATATATAGAAAGATTAAAAAAAAACTTTATATCCATCCTCCTGGCTGGTGTGGCTCAGATGGCTGGAGCATAGTCCAGGGGATAGCAGGTTTGATTCCTGGTCAGGGCACAGACCCAGGTTGTGGGTTTGATCCCAGTCAGGGCACGTGCAGGAGGCAACCAATCGATGTTTCTCTCTCTCATAGATGTTTTTCTCTCCCTCTCTCTCTCAAATCAATTTTTAAAAATGTTAAAAAAAAACTTTATATACATCATAAGTTTGAGCCCAATTCATGAAAGTCAGAAAGAACAGCAAGATTACTATATCCTAAAATGAAGCCCAGTATTACTTTTTGATATATTTTAAATAATAAAACCAGACCAGAACTGCATATTAAAATTTCTAGGAAACTGAGTAATTAATAGTTTGTTTTAAGCAATTATTTTAAACAGTTTTGAGATACAATTCATGTCATACAATGTCACTCATTTAAAGTATACAGTTCAATGGCTTTTATTATATGCACAGAATTGTATATCCATCACTATAATCAATTTTAGAATGTTTCCATTTCTTCAAAAAGAAACCCCAGACCACTAATCTGTCACTTTCCAATGCCCAGTTACCAGACCTAGGCAACGACTAATCTACTTTACATGTAAAGTAGATATATACAATATGTGGTCCTTTGTGTCTGACTTCTTTCACCTAGCATAATGTTTTTAAGGTTCATCCATGTTGTAGCATCTATCAGAACTTCATTTTGTCTTACTGGCCAATAATATTTCATGTGTGAAGATACCACATTTTGTTGACACATTCATTAGTTAATGGACATTTGGGTTGCTTATACTTTGATGTAGCTAATATGAATAATGCTGCTATGGACATTCATGCACAAGTTTTTATGTGGACATGCTTTAGTATCTTGTGGTATACACCTAAGAATAAACTGGTGAGTCACATAGTAACTCTATGTTCAAACTGCCAGGCTGTTTTCCAAAGTGGCTACAGCATTTTAATTTTACATTTCAATCAGTAGTGTATGAGGGTTCCAATTTCTCCCCATCCTCACCAACACTTATGAGTTGTCTTTTTTATTATACCCGTTCTAGTGTGTGTGAAGTAGCATCTCAGTGTGGTTTTGATTTTCATCATTCTGGTAGATAATTATGCTGAGTATCCTTTCAGGTGCTTATTGGCTATTTGTATATCTTTTTTGAGAAATGTCTCTTCAGATCTTTGCTCATTTTAAAACTAGGTTGTCTTTTTATTATTGGGTTGAAATAGCTCTTTATATGATTCTAGATACAATTTTTATCAGATACATGATTTATAAAAATATTCTCAATTCTATGAGTTGCCATTTCATTGTCTTGATGGTCTCTCTTGAAGAACAAAAGCTTTTAACTTTGATTATGTTTAGTTTATGTATTTTTTATTTTTTTATTTGTATTATTAGTGAGTAATGGCAGTTTTTATATGGCAACAATTAGTTTTATTACTTTAGTGTTTGAAGTGAACTAGATGTTGGAATTCCATAATAATATTCCTAAATTAGCTATTTTTTGACTGTAATTTAAAGTAAAAGTGAGTAGTTTGATCACAAGCTTCAAATATATATATTTTATTTGGATGATCAAAATAGTCAAACATATTACACCTAATTCTTTTCAAATGAACAAATACTTAATAGACACCTATAGTAAACTCTGAAATAGGGTCATTCTGAGTTCTTTCAAGATGGGGCACTATTAAGAACAAAAATCTCTTGTGTATTACAGTACTAAGGGTTTTGGATATTACTAAATATATAAACCACTAGAGGCCTGGTGCAAAAATTCGTGCACTTGGGGGCGGGGGGCCCTCAGCCCAGATTGTGAGAGGGCACAGGCCAGGCCGAGGGACCCCACTGGTGCACAATCAGGGTTGGGGAGGGACGTTGGAGGTTGTCCAGCAGGGGAGGGACCGTGGGAGGGCTTCAGGGTGTGTCTGGCCCATCTCGCTCAGTCCCGATTGGCTGGAACCCAGCAGCAAGCTAACCTACCGGTCAGAGCATCTGCCCCTTGGTGGTCAGCGCATGTCATAACAACTGGTTGACCTGTCGACTGTCTGCCCCCTAGTGGTCAGTGCACATCATAGCGAGCAATTGAGTGGCCTTAGCATATCATTAGCATATTACGCTTTGATTGGCTGAATGGCTGACGGGACACATAGCATATTAGGCTTTTATTATATAGCACAACGTAAGATAGGTGTTATAAAGTGGGGAAAGTAAAACCCAGAGCAGTTAAGTAACTTGCCCAAGATCCCACAACAAGGAGATGGAATAATTTAACCTCTTGCCTATTTAATTTCAATGACTGTGATGGTCCTTAGGCCATTAACCATTCAGGAAACCCTGGTGACACAGGTTGCGTCTAGTACTATAAATCTTAGTGGGCTTGAACCACAAAACAGAGGAGCAATAAAGTCATAACTGAGTAAAACTCCCTTCTTTCAGGTGTTGTGAATAGAGATGCTGCCTGTGTATTGATGTAACTTTAAAAAGAAATATGATGATCCTAATTAAGAAGAAAAAATTAAGTGTTTTCTCTTCAAAAACACACTTTGCAAGAACACGGAGTACCTGGACATTGGCAAAGTCGACACGGTTGAGGTCATTGAGCATCTGGTTAATCTGAGACGTGTTCTGAAGCACTGCACGAGCTGCCTGGGCCAGGTGATTGAGCGACGTGTATCTTCGCAGAGTCTGGGCAAAGGCACTTACAGCGGCAACCTGTACAGAACCAATTAAAATGGGATTCTTTTTTTCCTTCTAGTAACAGAAACCACTGCACATGCTCAAATCTTTATTCCCTTGCCAAATTTAAAATGCTTCCCTCTGATACTTATTTCACATTCATTTGGTGAGAGAGCTTACTTATAAATTACAGCATTGAAATCTCTAAACCAAGTATTATTTTCTTTTGAGTGGGTTGAGGTCAAGACTTAAACAAATTCCCACATTCTTTGACATGTGAGTGCAGAATTAATTAAACCAGTCTTACAAATAACTACTCATCCATGGCAAGAAATGACTTTCTCTGGGGAAGCAGGAAAAATATTGATTTTCTTTGTTTTCCTACTCTCTGTAGGACAGTCAACTATAAACTTGGCAAATAATTGTTTTTAACTTGGAAAAGCAAACTAGAGAGTCCCACTTTTTAAAATGGATAAAAATATATACTTTCCAGAGGAATGTCATTCATATTCACTCTTACTACCCTTTATTTTATAGAAATGGGTAATTTTGAGGTAAAACAAAAGAATTCATAGCCTTTATTAGCAACTTTGTAGCTAACAAACTTATCAGATACAGGCAACAAAAACTCTTTTCCAGCATATAAATTTCTGTAAAAGGGCTAGTCAGGAAATCTCCATTTGCCCTTCAAAATCTATTTCCCATCCTTATTGATGCTGCTCTGTGCTCAGGAAGATTGTCCTGAATGTACTTTAGTAACCACCTCCCTTACACTATGGCTTCCATTTGGCTTCCAATGATGGGCACTGGCAAAAGACTGAAGGATGGGAATAGAGTCATTAAGTATTTATTCCCACACAATTTCTGTTCTCTCCCTGTTTTGGCAGAGACTGTTTTCCGTTTCTATGACCACAGTTCTATAAGCAAGAAGAGTATCTTAATGCCACGACTTTCACCTCTTTCCCTTCTAAATGTAGGCGTGTTCAGGACTTCTCACTATTGCTGCTCCTGAGGTACTTTACCATTCCTTTTCTTAACTCTGTTCACACCTTTGGAAGTAAACCCTTCTTAAACCCTCTTCAATTATTTTCCCCTCCAGATAGACCAGTGGTCGGCAAACTCATTAGTCAACAGAGCCAAATATCAACAGTACGATTGAAATTTCTTTTGAGAGCCAAATTTTTTAAACTTAAACTATATAGGTAGGTACATTGTTATTAACTTAATTAGGGTACTCCTAAGTTGGCCTTTGCTAAAAATGTCCTCAATCTGATTGAGGTACGTTTGCTGAGGTCGACCCCTTCCAACTCTCCCATCCATACTTGTCTTATATACTTGTTTCGTCTATCTCCTTTCCGAAAACCGACTTCTGCGTATGGGCCACGAAGTTTCAATCGCACTGTACGTGCATGCCCGCACGTGGTATTTTGTGGAAGAGCCACACTCAAGGGGCCAAAGAGCCGCATGTGGCTCGCGAGCCGCGGTTTGCCGACCACTTAGATAGGCCATTTGTCTCCTGCTGCAAACCTGAATGAACCAGGTTACAATGAAAGAGATTAAAGACATTGCAAAAAAAGTCTAGATAAATGTCTAAATCTCATACTCTTATAGAAACTTCTAACATGCACAGTAGATCTAACGAGCATTTACACATATTTATAGGAAAGTATGGCATGGCATTAAATCGCTATGAGTATAGAAGAAACAACTGGGTGAATGATAGAAGGTGTTCACAGATCAAAGGATGCTCTATTTTGATAATGAGATTTATAGGACTATGTGGATCTTTGGGGAAGTTCACATGTCCTCAAAAAAAAAAAAAAGGGATCTTACACTTTCCCCCCATGTCTGTAGTTTATATTAATCAAGTACATACTATGTGTCAGGCACTGTGCTAAGTGCCTCTAATGTATTACCTCGTTCAATTCTCATAACCATCCTACTAAACACATATTATGAGTTAAACAGGTTAAGTAGTTTGTTCAAGGTTACAAAGAAACTATATTACAGTGATTGGATATGTATGAATCCAGGTGTTTTGATAACAATGGCCAGTTATAATCTCACTATTCTGTTCCCTTTGTCAGGGTAGATTGTCTTCATTAATTGAGTATTCAGCCAAAAAAATGCTACACATTAGTGAGAGAGAAACAGCAGAAGGTACCCTCCACTGAGGTAAATCAAATCAAATCTGGAGATCAATGAAATGACCAATATTGCAGCTAGATTTCTACCACATCCTTTGATGACACTGGGTAGGGAGTTGCTTTCAGCTGTTTGACATACTGTTATCAACAGGATTGACTTTGCAAGTTGGAAAACATTCCTCTGGCCATCATAATCAAGTAGCACCCTCTTTGTTTTCCCAGCTCGATGTGGTACTTTAGAACAGCACTGCCATGGAGCACTTTCTACAATGACGAAAATGCTACATACATGATGCCAAATACGGCACCCACTATCCACATGATGCTATGGAGCACTTGAAATGTAGTCAGTGTGACTGAGAAACTAAATTTAAATTTAAAATTCAGTAACCAAATGTGGCTACCCCTACTTTATTGACAGCATATTCTAAAGTAAAAATCTAAGATGAAATATCAATGAAATGTTTTTTTCTATATGTTTAGAATTAGAAAGTATTATTGTGAAACTTTAGTCAAAATAGGAAGAACTGGGAGCTACTTGTATTCCTAAATGAATTTGTCAGCTGCAAGAGCTGCAATCTATCAAGTATAGCCCCAAATTCAAAGATAATGTATATTCTTGGAGTATGATAGTGGATACAGTCATTGACAAAAATTCGGAAGTGTAATTTTTGGTATCAAAGTTTAGACAAAATTAGTTCAATCCTGTCATGGGGGCATGTTCACAGATGAACCTAAAGTGACACAGTTAGTAAAGGACAAAGTGGAGACTAGAATTCATATTTCTAGATAAATAATGAGATAATTGTTCACTTTAAGAAGTGATTACTTGATTTACAAAAGCACTCTCCAGCATTTAAAAAATACACCACAAAACATCCTAAAAAATGTAAAAGAATATCAATTTACATGAACTTTTCACAACACAATGAGCATAGATGGGGACTTAAAGAGTCTAAAAATCCTTTAAATGGGAACTATTTGAACATTCTAGGCTATTCTTAATTTGAAATTAAGCAATCTGAAATATACACTTTAAAAAGGGCTTATAAATACACATTTAAAATGCTTCTCTAGTCTTTTGAAAGGATTATTATCAAACATACCTTGTGCAAGTTCTTTATCACATTGTTATAAAATACAAATATAAAATCAATTTTAAAATTGTATATGTTATATTATCAACATTTTATATAGTGCTATTTCATAGGGCACATATAAAACTCATAGTCCAGAATAATTTCCTAAACACAAAAGAATATGCAAAGATATAAAAGTATACCTTGGTTTGTATCATTCTCTGTGGAATATTGTTCATGGCATTGGAAAGCCAACCTTCAAGGCTTTTTGCAAAATTTCGAATGGCTTGGGTCAAGGCACCTAAACGTTAAAGAATAAAGGCAAAATGAAAAAGATACAAAAGAACATTAATCTGTAAGCTAGATTAAGGGAAAACATGCATACACGACACGTGAAATAGCACAGAACTTATATTGTCTTCACTGATGAGCCTTTATTTAACATTATTCCTAACCTTGGAAGAGTTTGAGAATTATATTTTGGGGGCTTTGTTTTTCCTTGCAAAGTGATTTTGTTCACAGATACTAATACTACTTGGTTGGGAAATGAAAACATTCAAACATTTTTACTTATAACAACATATACCAGTTGTGAATTTTCTATCTTAGACAAACACTTTTTATTTACAGCTCTGTGCTCAAAGCTTTTTTCCTTTACAAGTTCTTCATCTTGATTTTTCAGGTTCTTAACCTATTTTCCTTTTTTTTTTTTAGTTAAAAAGAGGATCATGCAAAGCTTCCTCTCTTTTTCTAAGCCTCTATTTACATTAGAACATGCCAGCTAGAGTAGTTTTCTCTCACTCTTGTTGAAAAATAAGGTAAAAATTCACATGGCTTAACTTGAAATTTTGGATAACTATTCTCCATTTCACTTGGCAGGTAGAGATAAAAGATCAGTGTGATAAAATTACTGTCACAAAGACCAATATTCTTAAGGTATTCCTAAATTAGTCCAGTCCATACTTTTCACACATCTGTTAAAACCTGAAATAGGGGTAGGTTCCATGAGAGTGGCTTTTCATGGTGGCCATAAAGCAATTGGAAGCATCTTCAATTATCAGGGGTGACTATTTTACAAGAAGGGATCTGTTTACTGAGATTGCTGCATAAGAGAAGACCGAATTCTTCTCTTGTTCAACAAGTAATTCAGTCAATAGCATTTCCCTTCATCTGTGCCGAAGTGGAGGGAGCAGCTTTAGACACTTACTAAATATTTGAGGCATTCACAGTTAAGTCTTTGTGGGTTCCCTATTGTATGGGTAGGTATTACAACCGGTAGTCTACTGTAAGAAACAGAGAAGTTACATGTTTGTCCAAGGCTTCCCAAAATATTAATATTAATGATGAGATTAAGTTTCTCGGCTTTTCTCTTTGTGCTCAAATGAATCTGACATGCTTCTCTATTACTTTTGTTAAAGCGCAGTTAGACAATTACTTAAGTTACTTGCAAATGATATAAATATTACTAATCCAATAATAAAAACAACTATTTTTAGATAGTGACTTACTTAACTGGTCAAATGACAACAGAGAAACTGAAATGGCTAATTTTTTATTAGCAAAAACACTTGAGAAGTGCAGACCATGAGAATCATCTATTGGAAACACTGAGTTGCAAATTTGAGAACTAATCTCTTGAAATTTCCAAAACTTCCCACTTTAGCCAAAAAAAAAAAAAAAAAAAAAGACAGAAAAGTATTTTCCTGCTGCATTATGTACTAGAATCATGAAGGACAGGCATGAATGGACATGAAAAAGAGTGAAAATTAACGACGCTTTTTGAAACTCAGTAAAAGTTTTTGCAAGATTCAATTTGGCTATCTGTATTTGGCAGTTTTCTAAAATTAACATGTAACAATTATTTAATCTAAAAAAACCAAGACCCAGGAAAAGTTACTTTAAAACATTAATGAGTTTTACCTAGACAAATCTGATGCAAGGGAGATTATAAAATAAAAAGATATATTTGTATATCAGATGATTTTTAGTTTTTACTTTTTTTGTACTAAAGGACATTTTGGCCATCTTTAAATAGACCTAAAAATTGTACATTTAAGTATTACCAGTTGAGTTCTTATACAATTCTTTGCACTTAACTTTTTCTTCATTTTCAGATAAATGTATTTTAGAATATAGTAGCTTCAAGCTGACTTTAAATTAGTATGAGATGCAGACTACTTTTTGGCTAAAAAAAGGAATCCCATCTGTATAGTAAATGGTAGAGTGAAGTACTAGTAGCAACAAAATAACAATTTTTAAAATAAAGTTACGTTTTCTCTCTCTATGGTTCCTGTCAGATCAAATTGTGCACATTAACTTTGACAACTGTTCTCATGAATGGATTTTGAAATTTAAAATCTATTGCAAAGCAACTTGTTTCAACCCACTCATGATTAATATTAAGATGCATACAATCAGCAGATAGCCATCTAAACTCTATTTTAAGCTTTTTTTTAAGTTTTGTTATAGAATGGGAATTAAATTTCCAAATTTACTTGGCACATTAATGTATCTTGTAATTTCAGAGAAACTATGAAACTATACTTATGTAAAATTCCCGAGATTGAGTTGTCTGCTGAATGTAGAGACAAAGTACTTGACAGAATAAACTGGTTTTTAAATCACAATTTAAAAACAAAGGTCAAATGTATTCTGTATTTAAATGGTGGGGCTTACAGTTAACTAAAACTGATGCATGATTTAAGTTAGGAAACTGAAATTTATAAGTTAAAGTCTTGTGAGGCTAACATGGAAATTCAAGATTTTAGAGTTATTTCATGAATATTGATGTTGTTGATTTGACTCAAAAAAGAAAGTGCTCACTGACATCTCTTATATCTCATGAGAGAAATTATATGTGGGTGGGAAGATGTCTAATGGGCTACCTATGCTACTTCTCTTAAACATCTCGAGAGATTATAACTTAGAGCACAGGGAGCGAGATGAAAACAAGGAAAATCAGATTCTGAAACATAAATCAGTAGAGAATTTACACACTGAAATTTTCCATGACAACATTATTTTTAATCAATGCTTAGGAACATAGTGCAGATAGAGTAGAAAACATTAGCAATTGATAAAAATGTGAGACAATGGCAGTTGGATATTTAAAAAATAAATTTCTATACAAATGTATGTATGTTCATTGATACTGTGTGTAAATGTGTGTCTACGCATGCATTTTCAGGTGGTGAGGAACATATGAAGTAACTCATATCCTCCACTGTTACCTATCATATTTAGAAAAAAAGCAAGTATAAGTATACAAATGTTCATCACCTTTTGTTCTATTCAATACCTAAATATTGTCTGGAAAAACTTAATACAAATCACCTGTGAATGGTGTACTTGAAGTACACGGTTGCCCATTTCACAAGCTGAAAGACTGCTTTTACCTTACTAATGTCACTTTAGAGTGGAACTTCTGTCCCCAGTCTTTAAAAGTTAAGGTCACTAGTATGTGCTCATGAAGATGTAAGTGTAAAATCATTCCAACTGCTGCTAACACAAGTATCCATAGTGGGATTTATATTGACACTTGCAGAAAATAGCTTTGTTTGCTGCAAGGTAGTGTAAAAAGCAAGCATCACTTAATCCAACTTATCTATGTAATTCCTGTTTGCTTCATGGTGGGACTAAAATGCTTGCGTAGTAACATAGATTTTTCTCTCAAAATGCCAGTTAATCATTGCTGTTAAATGGAAACTGCATTTGTAGTTCAGAACATGATGTAGGTGACAAAGTAAATGCTTTTACAAAAGAATTCAATTTCAGTAGAAACCAAGATAAATTCATTTCAAATCAAAAGCAACCATGAAAGAAGCTGGCCTAGCAATTACAGGTTTCAAAAATTTTGGCTTTAGGGAGGAAACTGTGTCCTTGGATAGAATAATTTGTATGTGCTTGACTGGCCTGGGAGTGTTCTTGCAATTAGTCATTGGGCTGTCACATCCATAGATTAGCTTTTCTTTGAAAAAGAAAACTACTAAAGATTGAAAACCAGATCATTGTTCCTCTTTTACTACAGTTCTGCTCTAGGCTGCTTTCAGGCAATATTCTGTGTTGCATGTTTTCTATGTGGCAAATCTAAATGCAATTAGAATCCCTCTAGATTGCAATGTCACTTCCCAAAACTTCCTGGGTGGCATGTATGAGAACAAAAGCATCCGTACTTGTCTGCATTTAACTTACTAGGAATAGGTCTAAGGACGTCGGGGATGAGAATCTCCACCAAAGCCTGGTACATCCCATGGTCACAGTTACACATCCATTTCAGGATAGACTCATGTTTGCACAGAGTTATCAGCTTTGCTTTCGGAAGTCGACTTTCTATTTCACTCAGATTGCTGGGGTGAATAAATGTAGCAAATGAATAGATGGCAAATGAGGATAAAAAAGAAAATGGACTTTAAAAATAGTTTTAGTTTATCAAATATTACTGAGGTTAGAACTATACCACCATTGCACTGGTGCCATACGGCTGGATATATATAACATTCCCCCAGAGCTGCCTATGCACGTTAATACTTTCTGACGGTATGAAAGGCATATATGATACTAAAGTCCATGAAGATGAAATAGCTCTACCACAGCCCCCCAGTGCAATAAAATGGGAGCTATTGTACACACGCTGAAACCTCCAGAGAGCAGTTTGTGGCTTATTTCAATCTATTCATTTAATGTTATCAGGTAGGGTTCACAACTGGTATACATATCTCTAATTTATTAACTGTGACATCTACTTAGCCATGAAAATGAACTGGAAAGTTTATTGATTCTGACCTTGGTTCAGTAATGGTAGTGCCATCAGTTGGAGTAGAGGGAGAATAGCGCCAGAATGTTTGCCACAATTTTTCTATCAGGCTAAACTGAAGATTCACAACAACGTCCAATATTGCCTAGGAAACAAAATGGTTATTGGTATACCTTACAATATTTCTTATGTGGAGGTGAGAGGAGAACATAATGTAAAGGGACTTAAATGGTAAAAATACCTTTGGGTTCATAACATGGTAAAACTGGACTAAATTGGGCCAACGGAAGTAGGGAAACAAAACAGATTAGCTAAGGGGAAAAACAACTCTTAAGAGATTAGGCAGGATGACTGATAACCCACCCATAGTGGCCTCATATCTCACTCTTACTGTCACCTCTTTCCCCCCCCCATGCTTTCGTCCCTCTTCTCCATTTTCTTCTCTTACTTTTCTTTCATTTTTTTCTACCCACTGCTTCCCTCTGCCTCCAGGGTTGCTGCCATTCTTCATATTCTCAGAGCGAAGGGCACAAAACATAGATTCAATTCACGTCAGTCCTCACTGAGTTGACTGTGTCCCCTGGCCATCAAAGAGGCCGAAGTGAAGGGTGTGGGGGTGCTTGCGTGTGGCAGACAGAGTTAGGGCTAAAAGTAGCTCTGTCGAAGGCTACTGACCATGAGTCCCAAAGTGTTCCCAGCTATGCAGAAGCTGGGTCACAAACTACAGTCAAGTCAGGAAGGGCTTCAGATGATTGCCTGCCGGGCAGAAGGAGAGTACAGACAGCACCTCTCTTTGGTCAGGCAATGCCTCCCATTCAATCCTATTCTGCGCATGCCCTTTCGAGAGCAGCTTTAAGAACATCCCCTTCTCTAATCTGGCGTCAGGGGCTTTACCTTCTCCTTAATTTTACCTCCTAGAGCCATTATCCAGCTCTAGGAGATTAATTTTATTTTGAGGATGGTAAAATTTGCCACTTCCATTAACTTCTAATGATCATATTTAGTTTTGCCCTGCCCTTGCAATTAGTTTATAAATTCACCTTCAGATAAAAGCAGTCATAAAATAAAAGAATAACTTGTGCAAAGAACACATGATTCTGTGATTATTTTGAGCATAAAAGATAGAAGTTGTCAATATAGTATGTTTAATGTCCTCAGCATTGAGAATGAGGACAGCTGCCCAGTCAAGATCTACAAAATGCACATAAGCTAAGCGACAACAGAGGAAAACTGGGAGTCAATCTAAGGATTTTAGGCAAAAAGAAAAAAATGTAATGTTATAATTCTGAAGGCTGTGCTACCTGTGTAGATTGACCTTATGTATGATACAGAGAATAAATGATGATCTACACAAAAAACTCTGAAAACAATTCAAATATTAAGCAAAATCTGTTTGGGACATATTCTGGGAACTAGTAGGAAAAGCTCCAAGTAGTTAGTAATGAAAATGGAGGGAAGGGGGCAAATTAGAAAATGGTATAAAATTCAAAAGGTTAACGTACTCTTCTTCACACTTTTCTATCAGCAATAATAAAAATGCAAGTGCAAGCCCTGCAAATAAAGGGCGTATAGATGTCCCTCCTCCCAGGCAAATACTAAAACCTTCTCAAGAGGCAGGTAAAATTATAGCTGCTTTCTCAACTGTAGCTCAGGCACATTGCAAGAGAGTTCTATTAATGAAACAGCTATTAATATCTCACATAATACCTTACATATTTATAGCCATGAGATTGCTGTAAGAACACTATGTGTATGTTAAAAGAAAAAAAAAATAGTGTTGTAGCACATTATGTAGAAAATTATACTTGTTCCGTACCTAAAACTAGTGATACTTACACAATATCTTTGATAAACAAATCATGAGAATTCTAAATGATAGGCAAAATAGGTATGTTAAGCTTTCTTTAAAACATAAACTGTAGTAAACACGATATAAAATAAAGCAAGTAATTCAGTGCATCTTAAATTTAGTGACTCTTAAGTCAATCTCAAATGCCTTCAAAAAGGACATTCTTCGCAGTAGCCTCTTGAGGCAGTTTTGCAAATGAATAACACACATATCCTTTGTCCAATCACCCATTTTCAATTATGTTCATATTAAAATACATATCAAATATATTTTAAAATGGAGCAAATGACTCATGTATCTGTACTTCAAAAGTTCGGAACTTTCACAGAAAAAAATAGAATTCTTCTTTTTTCATATTTGCTCCTATGCTCCATGGGAGATGGCATGAATTCTGGTAACTCTGAAATAAATTGGGCTCATTCTATAGACTGCACACATATTAATCATCATACATGTCTATCTCTCTTCATATAGAGTTATCCTACAAATAGAAATGTTGATGAAAATTTTGTAACCCAAAGAATATTTTCATTTTATTGGGGGAGGTTTTCACTTAGAATAATCTTACTATATATTCTTTAGTAATGTAAATAATATTGCTCCAACTTATACTTTGAATAAGTATGAGAAACTTAAAGAAATACAAATTATATTTGTGTAGACTGGTTTGCTTAAAGCAAGGTTCAGAGTACAGAGAAATAAGAAAATGGTTAGAGAATCTTCATATATATGATATACATGTAAAAAGAAATTTTCCCTAGATATACAAGTATCATCCAAAAATTCTCTAATACTAGGAAAAGCAGTAGTCAAAGAGAAACATATGTTAAGTGTCTTTCATCATTGCAAGAAATGTGGGAACAGACTGGCAGGATATGCTGAAAACAATGTGGTACATGGCTTGTTAATAAAGAGAGAGCTTGCCCTTGGTTGTTAATAATCTAGCACCCTTGACAAGCACTCAGATTTATTGAAGCAGTTCTTATTTCTGGAGAATGAAAAATCTGTGAATGCTATGAACTGAGACTCCTCACTATACTGCATTGTCAACAGTCAGGAGGACAGCCCGTGAAATCTAAAGGATTATCTTTTACTTGTAAGTAGATCATATAGCGCCCTGGAATAAAGCTACCTAAATTCTAAACAGACTCCTCTTTCAAAAGGAAAGGCACTTATGAAAACTATCCTTGTAATCCATCATTCCCTCGGTACTAAGTGAGCTGCAGGTACATGTCATGCCTTGGAGAGAGTTCCCCTCCTGGAGACCATGTAGCCACTTCTGAGGAGGGATATTCAGAAAGGGACAGGAGTAGGGATGCAAAATACCAAGAGGAACTTTAATTATCACAAAAACAAAACTGGAGCCTCCATGATCCCTGGAAGTGCTTTATTAAACATTTACTGAAAATATTTTTGATAGAAAATGGTGTAAAATTCAAAAGGTAAAAAAGGTGCACTGAAAAATTAGGGCTCTTTCTCCGGCCACCCAGTCACCCAATTTCCTTTACAAAATCAACACCATTAACATTTTCATGTTTATTCTTCTGGAGAGATGTATATACATGCTGTTTTTTATTCAAATGATAGTATGCTATACACACTGCTTTGCATCTTGCTTTTTTCCTTTGAAAATAAATTCTACGTTTGTTCTATATTAGTGCATTTAGACTTGCCTATTCTTTTTAATAGCTGCATAATATTTCACTTTATAGATTATACTATATTTTATTTATTTAGTTCCCTACTAGGTATTGAAGTTATAACTAACCTTTTGCACTGGAAACAATAATACAGTAAATTAGTTCCCTTGTGCACTTATTTCTTCATCCATATGTAAACCTGTTTTCTAGGATAAAAACCTCGAAGTAGAATGCATCAAAGGATTCATTAGAATAGGCTAAGAAAATGTACAGTAAAATTCATTCTCCCTTTCCTATAGTCCTCACCTTTCTACTCTGAGATAAGAAGATAAATTAACTTATAGGTGCTCAAAGAAATATCAACTAACTTATATGTCTCTTAGGAATAAGTCTGGTTATTTTGTTTTGGTGAGTTGGCTAGCACAACTCAGCAGGGGTTGTACTATATCTGAAGAGATTTACCTCACAGTGCTCTCGATAAAGACTCTGCAGTGACTTGATATCCTCAAAGGTAGTACCATCTGGCAGAGAAGAGATTTCAACTTCTCCAAACTCTGGGAGTGCTCGAGATGCATCTGTTACCAGGACAACACAACAGAATAAAGCTTTGTGGATGGTGCCAATTACAGATTAATGAAGGAAAGTTTAAGAAAACTAAAAAGGAAAAATAAATAAATAAAAGATCAGAGGCCCAAAGAGCAAGGATTTTTTATATTGCTACAAGCAAGCAAAACTTGGCAACATCGTCAGCTCAGAAGAATAGAGGGAACATAAAAATTTTGGAGAAACTAAATTTTCACTATTACTATATCCCATCATAGTGTCTTTTAATATAAGGCACATATATATATATATATATATATATATATGTATGTATATATATGTGTATATATATATACACATACATACACATATACATACACATATACATACACATATACATATATATATATATATATATATATATATATATACATACATATATATATATATATATATATATATCTCAAGTTGCCAGAATCAATTTTGGTTATTTTTACTATTATGTTACTTAAGCATGTTAAAAATCTAGCTTTAAACTCATTATGCTCCAACTTCCTATATAATTATAAACCACAAACCTACAAAATAAAGACAAAGAAAACTACAAGAATAACATTAAACTCAACAACATTAACTTGATGTGATGGATGATGCTGTTGTCCTGTATGGAACATGACTGAGGTACTGACTGCTGTGCACAGGAACTTTTGAGTTTGACACGCTTATACCAACAGGCATTTCCTGGTGGCTGGACCTCCCATGACACTTTTCTATGTTCAGATGGGCTGTGAAACGTCCCTCCACACTGAGCACTGGGACAGCATTTAGCCTTCCCTTGGGATGAAGGCGTAATTTACATAGTAAGTCTCTGTTCTTTTCTCATAGCTCTTATCAATGCAATACACTTTGGAGTCTGCCTTATCATAAATTCAAATACAAACGTGGAAACTAAAATTGCAGAACAGTATTCCTTCTTGTCTTCTAGGTGATCCAGAATATGCTTTTATTTTTTTAAAGATAATAGTTGAAATAAAAAGATGAAATAAAAAAATATTCTTCTTGAGAGCTCAAAGGCCCATAAGAATATACCTAAGAATTTTAGTTTGGGAAATGATGCCATAATATTTTCAACTTCTCCAACTTGTCTTTCTCAGAAAGTGCACATAGACACAGAAACACATACAGACACATACACACACACACTCTCTGACAGCTTCTACTCATCTTGTTTGGTCTGCTGTACAGAAATTATGCATGTTCATCACTACAAGAGTTTTCAATTAAATTAAAGTGCCATTTTTGCACCTTTGGCTATGACAAGAAGATGCAAAATGATCAAGTTCCACTTCCTAACTCTTTAAATAAAGAGAAACATGTATATCATCTATGATTTTTTTTAAAAATATGAAGTGTTGTGATCTAGTTAAAAGAATAAATTACTTTTTAAAAGCTTATAATAACTTTTATTCTAATCTGAGGCTGTATGCACATGTAACTTTATACATAGAAAATAATTTTTTTTGGAACTTAAGTTGCTACTGAAATATAAAAAACACACAACACAATTTTGATTAAAAAAAAAGCCCAATTAATACAAATTCTGAAAAACAATTTCACAGCAAATAGCCTTTAATTTATATACATTTAGAAGTCCTACATAGCTCAAGAGTTTTAAAAATAAGCTTTAGTGAACATGAGAAAATAGAAATGAACTGGAAATGTCATACAATGTGCGTAGTTTCAGCACACAAAAAAGTCTTTCCATTTGGTTAACATCTATAATAGAAATCTCACTTGAAGAAAACACTACTATTGTTCTCTTGTCTTCAAAATCCTAAAAGCAACTAATATGCATTACACCTTAACATACCTAAAAACTGTTGATGATGTTGACTTTGGGCAATTACAGTTTGCTCAACAGATGTGCCTGTCTGTTGACCACTTCCTGTGAAACCATCTGCAACCCCATCCACTTTCTGCATAGGCTTGTACCTAAAAATATTAGATGGGAAAAAACAAATAAACCAAATTATTCCTTGCTTTTTTGTACTGCACAAAACTCCCAAGGCATTCAATTTTATCCTGTCTTCTTTAATGTTTCATGATAGTTGGATAGGATTCTTTTCCCTTGACAGTCTCATAAAGCTAAAGTGAAGAAAGTTTCTCAATTGTGAAAAGAAAAAGGGGGAGGGGCTAGGAAGAAGACCCATTTTTGAAAATTCAGAAATCTACCTAAGAAAGAGTTTTGAGGCATTTCTTTGGACAACAACGGCAAAGATGTTCCTGGTTATAGTTTTAATGATTTGAATATAACTTTTAATGGCCAATGGGTCAAGGTAGAAACTCTTTAAATACGTTGGGATTTTAATCTAAACAAAGATCTAGGAGGTAGGGCCTCAGAAATGTTGATGAATGGCTTTCAATTTATTAGTATCTCTAAAATATGAATCAGCCTATCAACTCTACCATATCTTCGAAAGCCTCCCATGCATCTCAACACATGTGTCTCCCTTAACTCTTCTCCATATTTGCAAACAGAAAAACCCTAAGTATCAGCTTGCAGCAAAATACATGCAAGAATCCATCTATAAGCCTAATTTACCAAATTAAGAAAAAGAAACCCTAAAGTCACCTACAGTTCTGTATTTATCTTTAGGTCCTAGTAATAGAAACTCATGAACTTTGCATACTGCTAAGAAATTTAAAAAAAAAAATGTTTCAGTAGCATGGTCAAGAAGGAAAGCCTGCTTGGAAGACATAAAAAATATATTAAAAACTGGGCAACCCTGCTAGGATAAACAAATACAAAATAAGAAATAAGCATCAACCCTAGCTGGTTTGGCTCAGTGGATAGAGCATCAGCCTGCTGAATGAAGGGTCCTGGGTTCAATTCCAGTCAAGGGCACATGCCTGGGTTGCGGGCTCGATCCCTAGTAGGGGGCGTACAGGAGGCAACTGATCAATGATTCTCTCTCATCATTGATGTTTCTATCTCTCTCTCCCTCTCCCTTTAGCTCTGAAATAAATAAAAATATATTTTTAGAAAAGAAAGAAACATCAACTCTAATTTTTATTTTTCCAATTTTTTTTAAGATTTAACTTATTTTATTTCATAAATTTAGAAAAACTAAGAAAAAATTGAGATTTATATCTTAGAGATACCATCATTCACTTTAGGATGTCTGTCCTTCCATTCTTTTTTTCCCTTCATTTCTAACTATACTTATAAACAAAACCACCTCCAGACATTTGACTCTTAACATTAATACCATAATGCAAGTGGATCATTAATATGAATTATTGTGACTAACAATGTCCATAATACATGAACAGGATATACTCAAAGATGGCTGCATTCTGATAGCAGATATAGAATGAATGGACCTGGTGAAACATCATACAAAGTAATGCTTTAGTTGCCTTAAAGAATGATTCAATCTTGAATGTTATTAATTATAAGTTAGATAAATGAAACTTCAAAGAAAAATTGCAAAGTCATTCATAATGAGATTTATATTTATTTCTTATATGACAAAAATAAAATCAGAAGATGAACAGAGTGAAAAAAGGGTACAATACTTCATCCTTATTATCACTTTAGTGATGATTCCACATCACCAAAATGTTGGTTGCTATTTTCTAATGATATAAAAGAACTCAAACATGTTCTTTTATTTAATGGAAAAACCATTGGAAAGTACTTTTCAATTGGTTCATACCAAGAAGTGGCAGAAGGGATAGTAATGTGATGTTCTAGAAATGCTGTTTATGAAAAATAGAATTTTTTTCATTTATTTTCCTACTTAAAAATTATCTTAGCCAGGCAAAAAATCTTTCTGAGGCAAATACTTTGAGTACTTCTGTGGGGAAGTTGCTAACCATTCATTCTGTCTAGAAAATTTGAATGATTGTATCCTTAGTAAATAAATTTAACAAAGTTTCCTGTCCTCATTGAGCCATCTCAGGTGTCATTTGATTTTACCCTCCTTTTATCAGCTATGAAATTTTATATTTTATATAAAATAGGCTAAAATTGCTTAACCATGTTTCTTCATTTAAGTTAATTAAGTATGGCATTCATGGAGTTAGTAAACAAAAGTGGTTAAAGGAATTTGAATTATTTACTCTGAAGAAGAGAAAATGGAAATGTTTCCTATAGAATTCAATATATTAAATTTTAACATTGGATTAGTGAGTAATTATGAGATTTTGCCAAGCTATGCTTCATCAAATTTCCTTTGTCCTTCACAAGTGCTTAATGGGCACAAATATCAAGGACAAGTGGAATTTCACCATAAAAGGAAATGACATATTTCTCTCAGTCTGTGAGTTTTCAGAGAATGGATGCTATCTCACAACCTTCTTGCACACAGTACTTAGCAAGCCTGCAATCTTACAAATAAAATTATCTGCTCCCTCAGAAAAATGTAGACATGAACGTTCCTAAGGGAAAGAGAGATTATATTTTTAACAAGCACTCAAAATCATAATTCATTATAATTAATGCATGATTATACATAATAATAATAATGATACTGAGTGGGAAGCATTGATTATATGTACAGTGTATTACACAGGAGATGAAAAATGCATCAATATTAGCTTATGGGGAAAAAGAAAATCAGCTGGTGAATTCTGGAGAAATGTTGCAGATCAGTACTTAAATACAAAACTTATATAGGAGACGTAAAGAAGAAAAAAAAAGAAAATAGAACTGAGAAATTAGTGTTTTTATTCTAATCATAAAATTAAGGGTAGCAAGGTAAATAGTGGATTAAATGGATCAGGCAAAGATGCACTACGTGCATCCATTCTTGGTTACTCTGTCGATAGGCTCTTTATAAGCGAGAACGTTATGTTGTACTTCCTCAGAGAAAGGTATGGGGATAAATTTGGTAGGGGTCTGTGCCATAAAGAATGACATCAAGAAGCACAGGAGTATGGTTGTGTACAAGAGCAGTATTAGTGAGAGCTAAATATGAGACAGCTTCCAGGTAGTGCTAACTTTAGCTTTTCCTGCTTTAACTACTAAATCATGTGATAGAACAGTGTATTGTCTGGCATTGCATTTGGTACTTAGAAGGAATTCCCGGAAATCACAAATATTGGACTGAGGAAAGCTAGATGTTCATATTCCTGATGCTCTAAGAAAAAAATCCTATCCCTGCCATCACCTCAGAGGGTTGGGTCTTCCCAGAGGAAGATGGAGTTTAACAGGAAGTCAAGAATAGGAACATTAAAAATAGGCTAAACAAATATCTGTGGTAACTGATTCTGCTTGGAAGAAACAGTTATAGATATTACTAGAGGCCCGGTGCACAAATTCATGCACCAGTGGGGTCCCTCAGCCTGGCCTGTGGGATCGGGCCGAAACTGGCTCTCTGACATCCCCCGAGGGGTTCCAGATTGCAAGAGGGCACTGGCCAGGCCGAGGGACCCCACCGGTGCACAATCGGGGCTGGGGAGGGACATGGGAAGTTGGCCAGTCCGGAGGGACCATGGGAGGGCTCCAGGGCATGTCTGGCCCATCTCGCTCAGTCCCAATCGGCAGGACCCCAGCAGCAAGCTAACCTACCAGTGGGAGCATCTGCCACCTGATGGTCCGTGCATGTCATAGTGACTGGTTGACCAGTCGACTGTCTGCCCCCTGGTGGTCAGTGCATGTCATAGTGAGCAGCTGAGCAGCCTTAGCATATCATTAGCATATTACACTTTGGTTGAAAGGATGACCGGACACTTAGCATATTAGGTATGTCAGTATCTGGGTAGCTTTCCATAAATTTCAAATGATAAACTCGTGCTAGGTCAACCCAACAAAATCCTGGGATTCGGGTTTAGGAATTGATTATTTTAACAAGTTCTGAAATGTTTCTTAAGGAGCCTGCACAGCACCAGTCCATAGGAGCCTCTTGGCCTGATATAAATTCCTTCAGCCCACTTCTGTAGAAGTATATTGCTAACATTAGAGATAAGCCATTTTTTTATAACTGTCATCAGTTTTCAATAAACTGCATGTGGAATATAAGTAAATACCTCTGAATGTATGGTGAATGCATGAATGAATGCTCAGAGTAACGTATTTCATTTTACATACTATTAATTGATCTTAACATGTATCAAATCAATGTAACAAACATTAATTGAGCATTTACTATAGGCATATAGGGGAATGGATTTGAAAAGGCTGCATATAAATAGAATTTTTCCAGCACAGTTTTTTTTTTATAATCTATTGATTTATATGATAATTCAACATTCTCTTAACTCTAGTTGAATTTCAACTGATGTCTTAGAATTAAAACAATCATTTTCAGGTTTCCTGTCTCTACCTTTTTCATAAAATCATCACCATTTAAATTATAAACTGTAAAAACCAGAGATATTTTTTACTGAAACAAAATTGTTGAATCCTTTAAAAAACAAAACAGCTTAGTAATCTTTTAAACAACAGAACTCGCTCCCTTTTCCCATTTATTTTACAAGTGCATTATTTTTAGATTAGGTTTCCTTATAGTAGATTCTTAGCACTCCCTAGTTGCCTGTACTCTGAGAAAGACCTGTGCTGCAATCTAACGAAGAAACAGCTCTTGGTTTCAAAGTCAGTAAGAGGCAAATGATAATTTTAACAGCTTGCAACTCCATGGGCAATCAGAGCTAAAGTTGTTAATGATTAAGAAATCAAAGAAACTCTAATGCTTTAATAGCTGAGTGCATGCATGAAACCTGTCACTAACACAGAAAATCTGGAAAATTATTAGGAATCTTTCACCATGGGGTTAGTCTTAGCTGTTATTTAGAACTTGGACAGCTATAACTCTACTGTAAAATAATATCTAATTCTGTCAATAATTTCACATGGACAGACACTGGAGGAGTCCAAAGGAAGGCAAAGAACCATTGCATTCAATGAACAGTACCAGGTGGAAGGACTTTCAACAGACTAAATGGAACATTTGGAAAAATACCTTTGAAGCGAAAAATGCAAATGCAAA